GAGCAGCCTTGAAGAAGGAGGGAACCGGAGTGACGAAGAGTCTTGGCTGATATATAAATATATTTCTATATAATTTAAACCTGCATATACGTATATGCAGTCAGTTCTATCTGTATATATATGTATAAATATCTGTGTGTGTGCTTGAATGAAGTTGAAAATGGTTCGTTTACCTAACCTCTTTTGCAAGCAGATGAGGGTGCCTGATGCGGCTGCTGCGGGTCTGTACTCGATGAACGATCCACCACAACTTTCCTGGTCTGTCAGGTCTGTGGATCTTCATTTAATCCAAAAGCAGGCAGGTGGGTCACCTCAATCACAGCCACCCTAGCATCGCTGCCAGGGGCAGGCCGGCGCCAAAGCATCACAGAGGGCCGCTGCCTGTCAGACCGCAGCCGCGGCCACCGGTCCCCTTTTCAGAAAGGATCGTGGGTGGCCAGAAAAAGGGTCAATCATTTGACCTTTCCTCTTTTCTCCGATGGAGATTCACTGAGAATCTTCCAAAGAAATGGAAAGATTTGAAGATTGGAGGAGACAACCATTCGCTTCGCTGGGTTGAATCCTTGAGTTTCAGGGTGGGTCAGCTCGTCAGCCCATTCGTTGTAGCCTCGCTTAGGTGGAAAGGGGCCAGCTGCAGGCCACGTTCATGTAGAAGAAGGAGAAGCTGCATCAATAAAGCTGCCGTTGGCATTCGTTTGGCACTGGCATTCACGGGGAAGATACTGCCCTGATTGCCGGATATGAAATGCCGGAACGGCTCAGGTCCGTACCACCCTGCGCGCTCAGCAGATCGATCAGGATCAGTACCCCTAAGAGTTCCAGGGTGGGGTCCCGCAAATGGTCTTGTTCCAGGATCTAGAGTTGGAACCACTAAACTGCATGTTTCTCAGGCACCTCTTTGTTGGCAAGCCAACCCTCAACAAAGGCGTCGCCTCCTTTGCTGGCACTGGCATCACTCGCACCACCAGGTGGAGAGGGGGTTCTGGTATTCAATGGAAAACCATCAAAAGTTTCGCAGTAGGACAAGAGCCACGAACCATGTCCAAAAAGGTTGCAGGAGGGAACGCATTGGTGGCCCAATCCCAACATTTGCTCTACCTCCCTTTTCGTGAATCCTTGGCCTTCTGCCACTGCATTCAGCGGGCTTATCGCGATTTCATGTTTGTCTGGTGCCATTCTCACAATTGGCCCAGCCGGGTTGACAAGGGCTGTCTTCTTCCAGCTCAGTGGGCACCCCACCGCCAAAAAAAAGGAGCGCTGAGGTCGTCAACAGGGGTGCTTGGGTCGGATCTAAGGGCCCAACAGAAGTCGTCGACAAAGACAAAGCCCCTGTCAGTGGCCGGAAAGGTATAGTAGCAGAGCACTGGGCATGTTATAGGTGCCGACCTTGTTCACCCACCATCCGCCGTCAATTTGAGCCACCTGGTACTTCCACTCACTGGGTTGGATTTTGACCCACATCCGCCTTCAGTGATTGCCATGGGGTGGCAAGTACCTCGGGCAGTCGTGGGCACCTGGGCCTGCATCGCTTGGTCGTGAAAACAAACATAAACCGGCTTCGCAGGACCAGTGAGCTGGGAAGCTCGGTGACCACAGGGCCATCTCCGTGAGCTTGGCATGCAAGGCGTCAAGGCGTCCATGGCCATCCAAGGGAGCTCCGCGGTTGGCTCAGCCGTAGCGGGGAGAAGCCATGGCAGGCGAAGAGTTCGCAAGAAAAAGCGGGAGGTCCAAGACGTTTCGAATCACAGTCTCGCTTGAGCCAAAATGGCATGGCCATTTGGGCAACTGTATCAACAACACATTGCTTGCTCTACACAAGCTCCGAGCAAATGACAAAATATATGTTCTTGTCTGCTCACCTCCACACATCTAGGAACGCTGCACCCCCAATTCGCTTGGGTGGAGGTTGCAAAGGTGGCGGTGGGATCCTGCTATGTCAAGTTTTGTCTCTCGATTTCAGTCGTAACAGTGGCAAATCCAACCCAAAGGAACTAGGCCCCCGGTTTAAAGAATGCTTGAAACATAAAACATCATACACCCACATCAATGCAAATGTTCCGAGTCCTAACCAGTTGGGTCTCTACTCTCCTGCTACTGGAGGCAGCAGCACTGGCGGTTCCTCAGGGAAAAGAAGCAAAACAGCAAATGTCAGGGATGCCAAAGGGGTTTGGTTTGTTGAGACAAATTGCGCCTGTCTCCTGGTCGCTAACATCTTCTGGGTGCACAAATCGTGGCCCAGTGCGCCTGGCAGGATGTACACCTTTCAGTCTGAATGGCTGAACGGCTGTTGCAGTGACAATCCTCCTGAACTCCAAACCATCCTGGAACTTGGTTCGCCATCGGTCATTGAATTAAACCATATGTCATATTTTCGTCCCATTAGACAATCGCCTCTCCTTCTGACTCAATGCACAAACTACAGTATACAATCCTTTTCGGTTAAGAAACACTCCCGTCAACTATTTGTGAAGAGATGACAGCTACTATCCACCTCTACTGTTGAGAAATGAACAGCATCTACAGCATGAAGTGGCAAACGTGTCTAATTAAACAGAAAAACTTTATAGTTTGCTGTAGTGCGTTTCAAGCACCTTAATGCCAAGGACAGGCTTTGGACAGAGCATAAACAAGGCCAGAACAGAGTCAAACCAAGGAACAGTGAATGGATAGAGCGAGACCAAAAATGACTGATAGTGCTCAAACAAAGCTAGGACAAAGCTACCTGAAGCCAGCCACCAAGATCTTGGGACATGCAGGATGAGTGCTGCAGAGCACCGTCAGAGCCATTGATCTCAACGCTAGACTGTGTAGGAAAAGCTTTCGGGGGGAAAGACAGGGCAAAGCCAGGAGATGGCATCGGGACCTTCAAAGGAAAAATAAACATCGTTTGGGACGATGCTCGGGTGTTCCCAAAGGCGTAGTGCCGACAAGGGCGTCTTAGGTTTGTGGCCTTGCCATCCATCGAAATCCGCCAAGGCGTAAAGTCCATGATTTTTTCACAACTCCGGGAGAAGTGTTCACTTTTTAAGCTCCTAAAAGCTGTGCAAAAATGCTGTGTGATACTGTTGTGGAGTGGATCGCAATCCACCTGCGGCTGGATGTGTACACTCTGCTCTGCCATGTAGGTGTCAAAACACTCAGAAGCTGTGACACTTGAAGAGCCCACCCTGTGTGGTCAATGTCAGTGCTATCGGGGTGTCAAAACAATTCTCAGCGCTCGTGGAATTGGTGTGCACAGCTAGGGCCCTCAAGCTTGAGACGGAGGAAGAATTTGCTGCACCAAGATGAGCGAAGAAAGCAGATCTGACTTTCTTGCTGCACATCAGGAAAGAGTGAACTGCCGTGTCAGCATGGCAACTGCCAAGTTCACTTCGCAACTTGCAATATCTTGCAAGCACTTTCTGTGACCTGACATAAGAAATTCAGCACCTTTTCTTTGTGAAAAATCCGTGGTGCAGTATGTGTGCATGACCCTACAGCTTCAAGTGTTCGCTGTGGAACGAGGCTCAAACCGTTGCAGAGTGATCTAAGCCCACATCACCCATAATTGCTGTGGCTCAACCAAAACCCTTCCATTGGAAACCCAACATGTACGCTGTAAGAAACTTGCGTCTTTCATATGAATGATGGGGCACAACCTGCTTGTCCAGGTCAACACCAGGAACCCATAAGGTGTCATGCCCTAGGCTTCCCAGCAACGGAAAGGGAACATACGTCACACGTGACCTAGTGCCCTGATTCCTTTGCACATCTAGAGTGCTATGTATAATCCCTGCAACACAAACAAAATATCCCGGAACGAGCTGGTCTTACTCGTTCTATTTGCATCCCCAGCCACCAAAGCCAACCTGCTGTCAAAGCACAGTTGGTTGAGGCTACCCTGGTAAAGCACATGGAAGGCCCAAGACTGTCCACTGGAGGTAAATGATACGAAGGCGCATGGCAGGCATTGTGGGGCTTTGTCTACGAAAGAAAACCTAGGTATAGCTTCATTCCAGTATCGAAGCAAACCAAAGCCCGGAGAGTTATTGTAAACAGTTCCACCTGAAGCATCGGCTCCAGCCACTGATCGTTGGCAAAGCCTTGCCGCATATCACTGACTATGCTGCTTCTCTGCTAGCCTAGCAGGTTCTAAGGTTTACCTGGACAATTCGTAAACACCCTCACCCCCAAAAAAGGGGCAATTCTGAGATGTGCGAAGGAATCAGTCACCGAGAAGCCACTCATGGGGTGGCTCCGCAAGCCGACCATCTGCCACCTTGCGAGACACAAGAATTGAACACGCCTAGCAGGACATGTTTGACGCTAGGCGGGGCAGAAGACTAAGACGCAAATCGAGCAAAATCTGTCCACCGGGAAACGCCAGAGCCCTGGACGCTCTGTGCCTGTACAAACTTGCAGCCACTGATTTACCTCGCGTTGCTTGGCCAAAACTAGAATCTGTGAATCATTGGCTGCTTCAATAAGCTTCAAAATATGGTTGCAGGATCAGCTCAATCGCTTGCATTCTCACATTGCCGGAATTTAGAGAATGAGTTCGTTGTACAGAATTCAAGACCGTTGACTGCAACCATCGGCACACAATGCTTCAACTCGTCATTGGTGCGCGCATCGAAATTCAGAAGGATTCACATGCTATTAATTTCTTGTTGCCCGGCTGTGGCCTCATAGGTGCCCCCTGCCACTTTGCACTCGTTGTGAGCAAGCGAGATCTCTCCATGAAACCGTTAAAAAGTGTCCTGAGTTTCTGCCAGGATGTTGAACACTCACATCTGCACTCCCGCATGACACGGGCATGGCTCAAGATGAACATTTTGACCTTCCTGGTAGTCCTCTCCGCGACGTAGCATTCGGCAGTGGAAAGTGTGCATTGGGCAGTGGAAAGTGTGCATTCGGTGAACATGCGGCATGGCAAGCATGCGACTCCAATCAAGACAGGAGCTGCTGGGAAAGGGGCATTGTATTCTAGCCCCATCAAGTATATAATATATTCTATGAGACAGCGCCCAGATGCAACTCCATCATTCAAGTATACATAGCTGGAAAGCAAGGTGCTCACATCGAGTATAGGACGCTGCTCCTTTCGAAGCCTTCGATGTGCGGGTTCCCAAGGCTGCTCGCAGCTGACGCGTTCCACCAGCGGACGCACATGCTGAACGGAAGAAGTTTGGAGGTTGGACCCAATGGGGAAGCGTTCATGCCGGCTGCAGCCTCTACCCCAAGAGCTTCGTTCGGAGAGCTTGGCAACAAACTAAATCGGGTCACTCCCAGCGACAATTTATGCAACTGTCCCTGAAAATCTGCACCAGATTGAAACACGCCGTCTTCACATGGTGTGAAGAGGTGCAGCTGCTGCTCCAGATGGTGTTTGGAGCCCAAAACCACAGGAGCCCGCTATGCTGCCTTTGTCTTGAACAAAAACCGTCTCAGTCGATGCGCTGTGAAGCAATTTATGCCTCACAGGTTGACACCACGTGTCTCCAAATCGCACTATTCAAAACAAAAGTACTAGTAGCGCTGGCCTCCACCCTAGTAGCGATGGCCTCCAACCTAATAGCGATGGCCTCCAATTAGAAAGGAACATGGCCTTCCAACGGAGAGTTGTGAACAAATCCTTATTCCTGCAGCAACCTGTCACATATTAGCTTTATATCAAGCCTCTCGGCTGGCTCTTCAGGGCACAAGCGCTTCGAAGTGTTTCCAGAACCACGAAGTGTCACTCAGTAGCTGTGGGTTGAAAGTCGAAACAAACAGCTGTCCAAATATGACGCGCAGAGACTCAGCTACTGCTACTTTGTTACACCTCACTTCAAACTTCAATCAAATTCAAAGCTGTTTTGGAGGCCATTCCGGTTGGAGGCCATCGCTCTTGGGTTGGAGGCCCTTGCTATTATCAGCCAAAACGGGTGCGGCGTGCCTCAGTACACGCAGAAGGGGACATCCAAAATGTCCACCGCATCCTGGAAATACACCCGGGGAGGCAGCCGAAAACCCGAAGGCAAAAGGCCAGAAAGATCGACAAATTCAAAGATCCGTCACGTGAGTCTCACGATTACGCTCTTTGGCTTACCATACTCTTTGATGTGTTGTTTATTCTTAGCCAGCTCCTACTTAATTGAGTAGGTGCCTACTTAATGAAGTAAGGGAGAAAGCTACTAGCTACGTAAGCTTCTAGTAACTGGAAGCAGGATAGCTTACGCACTAATGATTTGGTTGCTAGATTTTTCGGGAAACTTAAGTATACAGTATACTCTGAAGAAAATCAAGATGGAAACCCCTGTGAAATGCGAAACCACCGTGCTTTTGCGAAACAATTGACAGACCCCAGCGACTGTCGGGGCTGGTCCCAGCATTTGACTTGAAGAAAATCGGTCCGAGCGTGGAGACATGTCGGCGTAGGAAACATCTTTGGCCATGTAGTGGTCCACCTGCGCTGGCAACAAGAGCAGAGAACAGCTGCCAAATGAGCTAATTTGTGCAGCCCTGACTTAACGAAGGGTGGCCGGTACGGTCCGTGACAACCCATTTTTTGGCTGACGGAATCAATTTGGAGGGGAAATGCTCGTTTTTCTATTGTGCTCTGGAAGGCAGGACACCCTACTAGCGATGGCATCCAACCTAAGCCTTCCAAATTCCCGGCCTGTGGCAAATAGTTGAAAAGTGGAGCCACGGCCGAGTTTTCTGCCACTCCTCGTCCCCAAAGCACACTGGTAGAGTATGTTCTCAAGACCTGCCACAAACGAGCAGGAACCGTTGCCGCTGCATCCCCAAAGAGGACAACTACTTGCAGATCACAATATGGACGTTCTTACTTCAGCTTTCAGTCTGCAAATCATTAAAAACAGATGCCTCTGTGCTCAAGACGTTGTGGTCCCAAAGGTTTAAAGGTGTTTTAACCCAGCCTGAGCACCCCAAGTTTTCGAAGCCACTTTTCGCAAGAGGGCATCCTTCATCCAGGATTTGTGGAGCAAGGATCTCTGTTTCAACACGGAACACTTGGTGAAGTGTTGGACTTTGCACAAAAAGAATGAGCATCATGAACCTTGAGACCCAAGCTCCCTGCACCTGTACTTATATTTTGGAGGTTGGTTTTCTCTGCCAATGGCGATAGCTCAAGCTCCCGACAATCACACGGTGTCCAATCTTCGCCAGTTGCCCCAGTCGTCCCCCTGGCCACAAACAGACTCGATGCCCTTTGTTCCTAGTAGCGTCCTTGCTCCTAGTAGTAAGGCCGGAGCCCCTAGTAGCGTCCTTGTTCCTAGAAGTGAGGCCAGGAGCCCTCGTAGCGTCCTTGCTCCTAGTAGTAAGGCCAGGAGCCCTCGGTTGCGTCCTTGCTCCTGGTAGCGTCCTTGTTCCTAGTAGTAAGACCAGGAGCTCCTAGTAGCGTCCTTGCTCCTAGTAGTAAGACCAAGAGCCCCTAGTAGCATCCTTGCTCCTAGTAGTAAGGCCAGGAGCCCCCAGTAGCGTCCTTGCTCCTAGTAGTAAGGCAGGAGCCCCTAGTAGCGTCCTTGCTCCTAGTAGTGAGGCCAGGAGCCCCTAGTAGCGTCCTTGCTCCTAGTAGCAAGGCAGTAAGTTCCTTGCTCCCAGTAGCAAGGCCAGGAGCCCCTAGTAGCGTCCTTGCTCCTAGTAGTAAGGCCAGGAGCCCCTAGTAGCGTCCTTGCTCCTAGTAGTATGGCCAGGAGCCCCTAGTAGCTCCTAGTAGCAAGCCAGGAGCCCTGCACCTGGTAATAAGGCCAGGAGCCCCTAGTAGCGTCCTTGCTCCTAGTAGTAAGGCGAGGAGCCCCTAGTTGCATCCTTGCTCCTAGTAGTGAGGGCCCCTAGTAGCGTCCCTGCTCCTAGTAGTAAGGCCAGGAGCCCCTAGCAGCGTCCTTGCTCCTAGTAGTAAGGCAAGGAGCCCCTAGCAGCGTCCTTGCTCCTAGTAGTAT